ATACCACCACCACCACTCTTGGTGCCCAGTGGTAAGTGAGCCATTAGCACATGCCACATTGCCCATTTATGAAAACTTTCTATGCCTCACACTACTGAAGGGAAACTGGAGATACCACAGGAGAATAAAGTGGAGGGAACTACATGTGAAGTCACACAGAATCACAGAATGGTTGAGGTGGAAGAGACCTCTAGAGATCATTTAGCCCAACCCCTCCTGCTCCAGCAGGGACACCCAGAGCATGTGGCACAGGGTGGCATCCAGGCGGGTTTGAAAGCTCTCCAGAAAAGGAGACTCCACAGCCTCTCCGGGCAGCCTGTATTTAGTCCAACCCCTCCTGCTCCAGCAGGGACATCCAGAGCACATGGCACAGGGTGGCATCCAGGTGGGTTTGGAAGATTCCAGAAAAGGAGACTCCATAGCCTCTCTGGGCAGCCTGTTCCAGGGCTCTGTCACCCTCACAGGAAAGAAGTTCTTCCTCACACGGAGATGGAACTTCCGGTGTTTTAATTTGTACCCATTACCCGTTGTCCCGTCACTGGCCACCACGGAGAAGAGCCTGGCCCCATCCTCCCTATATTCTCCCGTCAGGTATTTGTACATATTGATCAGAACCCCCCTCAATCTTATCAAGTTCCTTGGTTATCAGTACATTGATGGTGATCTAAGAGCACCTACGTCACTGGCTCTCCGTGAACCTTTTGGGCCTGCTGGACTCACTCTCCTAGCACTACAAAGACTCCTGGAGGGCAGCCAGGTTTGCACTCCTGCACCCCCACTCCTCCATCACAACTTGGCTTGAATGTTCTGGCTCCCAGCTGGCCACATCTTACCAGACCAGTCTGAGCCAACGCAAACCAACACTTGGCTCCCACATATCAATGTACTCAGCCAGAACTGTTAATCCAGTGCATGGCTCTTACCTTTCACCAGGACTTTTGGGACTTTTGTGTGGCTGGCACAGAAGGCACTGTACAGCTTGAAACGGTCAGCATAGTAAAGAAAGGATCCACCCAAGGAAAACAGCACTTTCTAGGATTGGAGAGAGGAGAAAGGAAAAAAGCATAAAACACATATGAAAACTTGTTAGTTATTTTCCCTTCCAATAGGTCAGCTGGAGTCAGACTGCCTAAAGGGGGTCTTCCATAGCAGGCTGTGCAAGCACAGCTTTTCTGAATGCTGCCACAAATATTCACTATACTTCCAGCTGGGCATCTCCACCAACAGAGAAAGACCAAAACAAGTTCAGAAACCCCTCACAGCATTGACAGGGAAGAAGCCAGAACAAGACTGATGTGTTCCCTACTCTCCCTAGTCTGTATAATGTGGTCAAGGTGGTCAAGGCAAAGAGAAGGGAAGCAACAGTGGGATGGAGGATTTCCATTTACCTTTCAGATGACAGTACATCATATTTTTAAGAGTGTTCTCCCACCATCAGGCACACGCAGCCCTGGTGTCTCCACCCAGCCTGGACTCCTCAGGCTGTTACCCTGGCTAAGGCCACCTAGAGAAACCACTGACTACACGATGGATCTAGATTTACAGCTGCAGGGCTGTATATAAAAGCCTGAGGTTAAGATGTTACTGTTCTAACAGCTGGAGGCCACAGAAAGGACTGGATATACCTGGCTTCATAATGGATCAGATATTAAGAAGCCGCAAGCGAGAACAGGATCCCACTGCACAAATGACGCTGGTACACTTTTTAAGGGAAGTTTCTATCTTATTCTTTTCGTTCTTATTCATCCCTTTCAGTTCAGAGTCACTAAAATTCTCCGTTATGGGGACACTTCTTACACAAGAAGTGTCAAATTCTAATTATGTGAGGGCAGTGTTTATGACAAATGCCGATTTAAAACGAGCATCTGACATCAAAGCTAAGCACACCAAAAAGACAACTTCTTCCACTCATTCTTGAAGGGCTGTATGTTTGTTAGCTGAAGATCAAGCCCAATTAAAATATTATAATTATGCATCACATTATCCTGTTTTCTACTAAGGTGAGTGCTCACAGCAGGAGTAAAACTCTCCAAAGACTACCCAAAGACTAAATGTGGTATTATTTATTCGCCATACATGCAGCACATGACTACAGGAGACATAACCAAGCATTAATAGCCAGTCAGATTTAAACTGATCCCTCATTTTGCTTTATTTTTTAAATTACATTTATATCCTTTCAGTTTATACTTCTACATATCCTTCATGCACAGTTGCTGATACTTGGAAGTAATTGCCTTGCAGTTCGGCTGTCTATCAAAAGTCCAAATACCAAACTCAATTTACAGTTCGGAATTACCTCCCTAATGGGCTTCTGAACTACTGATTTGGACTTGTCAGAACAAGGACTTTATGTAATATTCCATTTCTAGCTTTTCTTCACAGCTCAAGACAAGAAATCTGACAGAAAAGCAAGAACAGCATCTAAAAACACATGGCATTACAACATTCTAGCGCTCTATACAGCTAAATGTATCTTGAACTTCGGTAACAAATTAATCTGCAATGAAATTAGATGCATGTTTTTACATGAGGAGTGACAGTAGTCAAATAACTGTGATAAAGGACAATAGAGGACAACTTGTGGGATATAGCTCATCATTACGTAAAACTTAGTAGCGTTAGTCCACTCAGAATTTAAATAGTGAGATTACCTTAAATTGCTCAACTTTTTCAAGCTTTTCCAGGTCTGGAACCAGCCTTACCCCATCTTCAAGAGTTTTTAAGAATTCCACCTGGAACGCTACCATTTCAGTCAGATTTCCAAAGAGAACATCCAGCTAAAAAAACGAAAAAGGAGCAACATGCTAAAACATTACTATTAAGATCACTTTATAGTTATATTGTGTTTTCTGGAAGTTCAGGAATTCTCAGCCCAACCACAAAATCACAAAATCACAAAATCACAAAAAAGTGTGGTGTCAGAAAACCACATTATACATTACTGAGCAGTACCTTTATACTCTATTCAATCCATTATTTTAAAAGAAATGAACTTCAGAATTTCTCCACAACCCTCAGAAAAGAAGGTCAAGCTTAGAAGGGGGAGAATGAGATATCTAACAAAAGGACAAGCAAGGCCAACATGCTAACATACCTCATCTGGTGTAAGGAAAGTTTCTTTTTGTAAAGGCTTCAGGTATCTCTCCATCAGACAGTTTAGGTCCTTAAAAAAAAAAAAAAAAAAAGATTTCTGTGGTGATTCCTTGGATTGTCTCTAAATATTTACTGAAGTGACAAAGACTACAGTCTACCTAGTCTGTGAGTATTTCCTTGTCATGCATAAAACAAGGATTGGATTTAGCTTTCGCAGAATTTAAGATATTTTACACAGTTTTAGTTACAAAATCAATGCGAGATGTCATGAAACAGAACTCCCCTGCCTACCTCCACTCCAAAGTCATTCCAAAGTGATGCAGTAAGAATTTTGCATGCCTGCTTATTTCAGAGACTTGTTAAAAGTTGCATGCAATGCTGCAACCTGTCACTAGAAGGGTAAATTAGCAAGAGATATGTACACAAATTTGTATTTTGAAGCAGAGAAGAGACTAGCAAAGCTCTCCAAAAGGAGGGGAAATATTAGTAAACGGAGACCACATATTGAAAGCCCTTACTTTGACGTAGGTGCGTTCGGTTTCGAGGAGTTCACAAATAACCTTTCGGAGCTTGTCTGCATCTGTGAGCTGTCTCATGGTGGCCAGCTGGGGTCCAGTGAATTCCTGAGGATGAGCACTTGAGTCAGAAGGATTCATTTCATGCAGACTGCGACAGAAAGCAGCGACCTGCTCTGTACTCTTTAAAAAAGAAGGAAGAGGAAAGACCGGGGTAATATTTTAGGCAAGTGCTGCAGGAAGGAGGGAGTCTAGAAGCCTGTGGAGTTAAGCAGTTCAGCAGTCTGGGGGCTTTTTGAGAGCCACCAAAATCCACAGCTGCACATGTCACTTGAGTATCTGTCTGTCTCTCAGAGCCAGCAGATAAGCAGGAAGTCAAAAGAGAGTTATATAAACTAATTGGAGTGTTGTTCAGTAACATTCCTGGTTTCAGATGAACTTTAATTAAAATATGCTTGCCCAGCAGTTAGAATCGAAAACAAAAACAGAACGCCCGAGTGCAAGAACTGGGAACTAAAAATGCCTGTACATATGAAACTCACCCCCCTGCCCTCTGCCAGTTCCCTACTCCAGTTTGCATCAGGCCCATGAATGGCTGTGTCAACACAGCCAAGAAGACAACACTGCAACAAAAACCGCTTCAGCACTGTGCAGCAAAGCAGGTGTATGCAGGGCCAGAGCCTCAGGCCCTTCCAACGCGCACTCCTTGGCGGGAGCCTGCCTTGCTCAAGGTCCTCTGCCTCAGTCAGCGTTTGCAGAGCTTCTGCACGGCGCCAGTTTCCTTAATGTTTAATCAGCTGCCTCTATATAAAGAGCGCTATTCTCTCCTCACCTCCCTCTTGCCAGGTCCTCCTCCTGCATCTTTTGTTACACTGCAGCGTTCGAGCGCCTTCGGTCTCTGGTGTCAGTGACGACAGCCCCGGGCTTCTCGGGTAGCCGGAGCCGCCCCGCAGGGTATCCTCGTCCTGCCCCAGGCCTGGCGGGGCAGGAAAGGGCAAAAAGCAGCTCTGCTTGATCACACCTCTCTCAGCTTCCAAGATTAATCCTGCCACTGTGTCTTAATCCAGATTTGGAGGCTTACCGCCAACACTGCCTCTACATCCCTGCAGTCCATGTGGGAACAACTTAACTGAAATTCACCTGTTCTGACATAAAATATGGAGGAGAAAAAGAAAGAAAGAAAAAGAAAAAAGGAAAAAAACAAAAAAACTATTTGCATTGGGAGATCCCTTCCCCTGCACCAGCCTACCAGCAGGAGGAGCCTGAACTGCTACAGACCTCCGATGACCCAGTGCTGAAAATCTCTGCATTTGCTAAGCTGCACAGTCTGCTCACATAGAGCTATTTTCTTCTCAGTTCACATCCATAACGCCTCAGAGAGGCAGTAACTATTTTAGCCAAGAAACAGATTTCGTTTCATAACACAGTTGCTTTCCCCAAAGCCACCTTATGACTGTAGAGACTTACCAGTAAAGATGCTTGCTATCAAAGGGATAATTTCCTTTAGGGACACAAATATAAACTATGAAGTAACAGCAGCTGACTGACTGTACAAGGATGCCTCTTGGACCCAGTTTGTTACAGTGGGAATAATCATTCTCAGGATCTGAGATGTAACTTCACATCAAGTAGAATGGAAAAGCGTGGTAAGTTAAAGGGAAGTAAGAAAAATCTCTTTCTCTCCTTCATCTTCCTCAAAACAAATAAAATCCTAGTGAGTTGGACCATTCCACCTCTAACTAATTCAGCTTCTGGTTTGGCCCATTTCACTGAGAGCTGGATTTAGTAGTCAAGGCGATTCCTTTCATTTCTCACCAACATTCCCCCTGTGCTCATGGAGGAATCCACACAGCAGCACAGCAGGTGAAAGCCTGGCCTCAGTGCAGGAAAACATAAACGTGGAGTGACCTGCTATGGTGACAAGGGACAGGAACTGACAGTTAATAGATGTTAATCTGAGCCTGCAGAGACCCAGAACACGCACAGTTTTCCTCAGGTACATTTGGCTTCATAAAGAACACTTCTTGAAAGAATATTTGAGGAATGCATATGCAGCAACACATTCTTATAGAAGCAAAAGGCACAATTAAGAATAGTTAAGATGCATAAAAACGTTGTTTATTTTTAGAGCTTGGTTCCATATAAAGTGTCTTTAACAGTTCCTGCTTCACACCTTGCAGACAGCTCACCATGCTGGGTGTTCACTTGCAATATGTTGCAGGGAAAGATGGGTCACTCAAAGAAAGGTGGGGAAAATCCATATGGAATGTGAAACAGAAGGGTGAACACCTAAAACCTGAACAACTGTCAAACAGGCTGCCCCTTAAGAAGCAGTTACACTCACACTCCAAAAAGGAAGTCTGGAAACCTTAAAAGCCTTCTCTCCACATACACATAACTTACTTTATAAAATACTAATTGGCTTCACCCATACCCAGTTCCAGCCAACGCCATCTTTAAGTCCTGCTTTGCCCTCTCTTCTCCCCCATATCCTTCAAGTATTTCCCCACAAGATCATTCACCTGCTGTTCTTCAGACGGACAAAAGAGTCTGCAGCACATTAACACGGATGAGCCCGTTCCTGCTTGCTCTTGAACCAGCTGCCTGGTTTGTTCCTCAGTGAAGCCTTTTCTACCCTCTACCTCCCATGTACTTTGAAATGAATTTCTAGACAGACCAGGTAGATCCATGTAGCACCCAGGGAGGATCAGAACACAACTGCTTTGCTTCTGACTCTTAAACAGCATTAACAGGAGAGTCCCTGCCACCATCTTCCTACAGAAAGTATATTCCAAATCTTCCTGATTCCACCCAATCAAATCCCTTTATCTCCCCAAACCAGCTCCGTTTGCCAGCTGCTGAAATGCCAGCACCGAGCTGGGATTTCCCCAGAATTGCTGCAGCACACTTCAGGCACGATTCTGCAGGCAACCCCCTCTAGCCACCTGAAAAAGTGACAAGCTGCTTGTACAACGGGGCTGTAAAACGTAGTTGACTTCACCAGTGCAATCACCCCCCTCGGCAGGGGCTCCTCAGAGTGGCTCAGCTCGCACCCTCGCCAGGCAGGAGCCCTTCCTCAAAGCTGTTGAGCCGCTCGTGTTGCCCACTGTGGGCAGTTCTGGTCGCCTGCCCTGTGTACAGAGTGGACTGCAATTTCCTCTGGTGCTCCCCTTATAAAAATCTGTAGGTGCCTGGGCATTAGACAGAATGCCTTCTTAAACAGCATACAGCACCTGTGTCTGTAACAAATCCTACGCATTACTGATCTCCAAACAAAACTCAGGCAAACTGCATTCTTTCACGTATTACCCGGTCTCTTAATGACACTGCACAATAACAAGCCGCCTCTACTGGCTCTCTACATTATAGCTTAGTCTCCAATTTATAACCCTAAAAAGCAAACAGCATGAAAAATCCATTTAACTGCTGATTACTTAGACTAGTCACGCCGCACGGCGGATCGGCTCACCAAATACAGCACACGGTTCAGGGAGTCGCTGGGTCTCGCGCTGCCCTCGCTCCTGAGTTTCCGGTTAACTCTCCAAAGGGCCGACATCGCGGCAAGGCGGCGCCGGGGGAACCGTCACTCAGCGCTTTCCAGCTCGGCTGCGAGGAAAGCCCCGCTCCTCCACATACCCGACCGACTGGAAACGCTTTCCCACTCCAGAGCAGGATTCCGTGCTGCTCACTCGGCGCGCCGCCCAGGAGCCTGCTGCTTTCTCACGAGAGAGGGCAGTGACCACATTGTCCTGGCTAAAGCCTCCCCTCGTGTGGCACTTGCCATAGGCCTGGCTCGCTCGCTGCAGCGACTAGGACGGGGAGCTGACTGCGAGCTGAAGCTGGGGATTTAATGCCGCTCTTTGTGGAGTCATTAAGACGAAAACTTGAGCAGAAAGGCTGAAATGCAGAAGAGGAGAGGTGAAGGCAGCCCTGGAATATAAATGTCTCTTGCCTGTGGCTGAGCAGGAGCTGATTGGCTATGAACAGCACTGCATAAGAATATTAAATACCTGAAGGGACAGAAGCACAGAATTAAAAGATCTTTAAAAAAGCCAGCTCTGTTACTGGAAAGCCTACCCCCTCAAATCCCTATTTTAATCCTTTCGCATCCCTTGCAACACATTGGAGGTTTTGAGATTTAATTCTGGTTTGAATAATGCCGCAGAGAGAAGAGCACCTATTTTCTTAGACAAGCTGCCTCTAAGCGACACAAGCATGTGCACACGCAGACCATGCCAGCAGGCTCCCCTAAGCCCCAGCGCTGCAAGGTAACCAACTGCAGCTTCCAGAGGCAGGTGTCTTAAATTAGAAACCAGGAAAAATAAGTGTCCTGCAGTATTTTAATTGGCTACAGCTCTAAAAACACAGTGAAACTCAAAGGACTCGCTCTGTTATAGCCAACAATCTGCATGAAGACTGATCTTATGAGGTAACACAACCCATGCCTTAGCTTTTGCTAACCCGCAACATCAAGCGCCTATTTGTCTGCAGGGCACCTCCTCTGAACCTCCGCTTATTCTGCGCTCTTTGAAGGGTCAGACCCAAACAGCCAGGTCACCACAGGGGCAAGCAGCTCTTTCAGCAATCACGCTCCTCCTCAGGCTCGGCTCCCACATAAAGCGGGGAGAGCAGGGGAAGTCAGGAGTCAGCTGCATCGCTTAGAGGGAAAAAGTGAACACCCAGACAGCACAACCTGTACTCAGCACACCCAGGCAGCACCACTCAGTGCTGTTTACGCAGAGGTAAACTGAGAGCTGCTTGACACAGGGGACGCATCATGAAACTAGACTGGGGGCAAATTCAGAGAGCAACAGCCATCCCGCAGCGCCACACTGCAACCGCCCCCACCCTCTTTGGAAATGCGTTTCTCGTATTTTATCAAAACACTTTTATAGGCATTCTGGTTTTTGCTTGTTATTATGATTCCCTTGAGGATAGCAAGGGAGAAGTAAATTGCATGTTTTGCAGTCTCTTCTCATGGCTCAGTTCTCAAGGACACGGAGAAGACAGGATTTTCTAAGGAGGGAAGGATCCTCAAAGCGGCTGGTGTACTCTCCAATCCTTCACCACCTTCAACAGCTTGGAGGCTTTTAGGGATTAAGAGACAAATGCACCATTCCTGAGCAAACCCACACCCACGTGCACACATGTTGGGGCGAAGGGAGAGCTGGAAGGGAGGAGGAGGAGGAGGAGAGGCACATCCAAGCATCTCCTGTGCTACATATCCATCTACATGACAGCATTACAGATAAACTGGAAGGGACCCGGGCCTGGCTTTTGGGCGGCTCGCACACAACTTACCCTCATAAAAAGTCTCCCCGAGTCACAGGAGCGTGCGGAGAAGAGCCGCCGGGTAGCGCTCCTCTCCTTTTCCCATGAATTATTAACTCTCACGGAGAATCACTCTGCTGGCCTGGGAACTGGGAGCTCTCATCCTCAGCGGAGTGCGTGGAGGAGCAGCGACTTTGCCCTGTTTCGGAGCCAGGTCTTTGCAAGGCAGGGAGCAACCCAAGCGCTGTGCTGGGATCTTGGGCTGCTATCGCTGCCTCCGCGCTGCGGGAAGGGCAGCTCTGCCTTTAGCCTCCTCCTGCGCCTCCACCCGCGGGAGGGACTGGAAGCGGCGGCAGCGGATGGGGACAGGCCCTCCCGGCGGCACGAAAGCAGAGCCGTTCAGTTCACACGTCCCACAGTGACCCGGGCGAGACAGCGCCGGGCACGTCAGCCTAATCCGCCGCTCCGTAATCCCGGGAAAGGTGTGGCAACACGGGCAGGAAAACGCCTTTGCCTTCCCCCTCGCGGCACTAGTGCGGCGGCGATTTTCCTTGGACCCACGTGTGACACACGCAGACTCGCTATTCCCCCAAGCGCAGCAGCTTTCCCAAGCACACAGAAAAGCAAACGGATTAAGCACATCCTCATCAATTTAATTTTTAGAAGTTTCTTAGCCCGTGGCTTTTTTATTTTGCAAATGTATTAAAGATCTAATATTTGAACCATGACATCCCCCCCTCTACCATTCACTGGAATTCTTGCCATGTGCAACAAAATAACTTTAGGATTCCTGCCTTTCGACAGAGAAGAACCACAAGGAAAGCCCACTGAGCACAGAGTTCTCCTGCCTGGAAAGGGCAGAGGCATTCGAGTCTATCAAGGTAAAAGTCTTACCTTTACCTACACATCTAAAGGTAAGCGTATGCCTCTTCCATGAAAAGGTCCCCTAACAAGCCAAACGTGAAGAGGTAAATACCCCAGTCTCCCCTATATTGTACAAACGAGACACAGTATTTCTGAATTTTAAAAGAAAACAGTGCATCAACAACAACATTTCGATTATAGAAAGACAGACTTTTTTCTTCTCCCTGGAATTGGGGCTTATTAGACTCATGAGTTACTCTTCCATTGTATGCATATTAAGCACAAAGCTGCTAACACATATTTCTCAGTTGAACTAAATCTGCTGCGCCGCTGGGCTAATCACGTAATCCTTATGCTTTGCTTTAGGCTCTGAAGATCCAGGAAGCAGGATGCAAAATGGAACCCCACAGCCTCTTGCACAGCTCCAAAATAGAAAGCTACAGAAAACACAGCAAGAACATCTAGTCCCCATGCAGCTATGTGTCGTACTCAGTGCTCTTCCACAGCTTCAGTGCTTAACAGCAAAGGCTTTCCAGAACACACGAAAATCCCAGGCGTTCACAGTTAAAAATCTAGGAGTATCAACAAATTATTCTCAATAAAAGAAGTTATTTGTACTTACGAAAAAAGGTTCTGTAAAAAAAAAATGGAAACAAACTGCAGGAGTAATCACCTTCTTTGTATGCAAACTCCACATATATTTCATGTAGAGGAATGTTTTTCTCTTATCTGACTTCCACTGGCTATCAAAGACAAAACTACAGGCTAGTGTGACATAGGAGATCAGGAAACAAGAGGCCAGGGTCTTTTCCTTCCTTTCACTACAATAAGCAAACAGAGTAGTACAGAGACCAGATTAGGACTCACTGTGACACATTTTATCTAAAAGAAGAGCTCAGAAAAAAAACACACCTGTACATGAACACAAATTCAGTGAGAACTGATACTCCAGTAGAAAGTTAGCTGTAAACGCTCAACATAACTTATGCAACAAATACTTTAAGACAACCAGTGCCTTTAAAATATTTTTGCTTGATTCTACCTCAAAAGTGACTATTCATCACAGGTAACTGCAAAGCTCCCCAGCACCAGAGCAAGTGCAAACTCCAACCAGAGCGAAACTTAATCAATAGCAATTAGCAATCCATTCGCACAGCCTCTTAGCTATAATTGGAGTTTTGCTTCAATTTAAGGTAGATTGGGTCTAATTAGTTTCCATTTAAAAACTATCGTGTGTACTATGCTATTGATTTAAGGAAATATTCTAACTTACACTCCTCCCCTGGCTTGAAATCAAGAAAGAATAAGAAACTGTAATAATCCATCTAGAAAGAATAAGAAACTGTAATAATCCATCTGATCTTTTGGTTCAACTGAGCTGCTCTGGAGAAAGGAGGTGATATGCCAGCCCATTAAAAAAACACACACACACACATGGAAGCACCACGAGATACTGAAATGAGAACCATGCCTGTCTTTTATCATTGTAAGGAAAGGGGGTACAAGTCTTTCTCAACAGGTAGTGATGTGCCATAATCAGAGCTGCAATTTAGTGCATTCAATATCATCAGTGTTTTCCCAGAAAAGATGTTCTAATTGTGTACAGCTGTGTAGTCAGCACATCAGCTGTGAGTCTGCTGTGCTTTCGCTCTGTGCCATGTGAAAATGGAAATTTCTCACCTTGCTCATCTTATCGGCCTCATCAGATGATTCCAAGTCTTGCACTTCTGTGTCTTCTGGAGCAGTCTCAACAGAGCTGTCTGGGTCGCCACAAAGCCCTGCTGAAATCGAGATGCGTGTGAAAACATGACCATAATTTCCTAAAATCTGAAAACCTGAGTGCAACAGATACTGAGTTCCCACGAACAGCCAGGTCCTGTCCTACACCCAAGCACACACTGGCAAGACACGGTGCTCAGGGACCTCCAGGGGCTACCTGGGGTTATGGCAGGGACCAAGTTTTTACTACAAGTGCGGAAACAGGTTGTGGCCAGACATGCTATTTTGGTTAGAATCAATAAAAGCTGATTCAGAGATAAGGCTAAAATACCAGGCTGAAATTCTTTCTTCTGTCATTAAGTAAGTTCTTAGTAGGCAAACAGTTGCCTGCTTTATACACCAGTGGTTTCAAGTGGAAACTCCAGTATGTCAGTGAGTTTGTACTGGCAAGAACAAAGTCTTGGATAATCATTCCTCTAAGGAAGCTGAACATGAGCATTTTAAAACGATTGCAGTTTTGGCCTGATACATCTGCTACTGAGTTTCGATGTTCATTAAAAAAAAATAAAATACCATCCTTTTTAGCAGTTTTCAGGAGCCCGTTACATCACCTGCAAACTGAACTTTTCACTGGTACATGGCAGTAATCTCGTACATCTAATCCTTAGCACTCTTCAGAAGAGACACTTGTGATACAAATAATAACTCTCTCACAACCTTTTGTAAATAGATGATGAATCTTCTGCAATTGACAGAAGAATTAAAGGAACTAATCCCAATCTCAGAGCTCTGTGTGCACATAGCTTTTTTGGGGATCTCATTCTCTAACTCAAATAGCAGCAAGAAGCCATTACTACACCTTAACTAATCTTCACTGGAAAATGGGTATCACATACATTGAACTGCTAGGTATTGCAAATTATAATGAGCAGCTAGCATTTATAACTGACTACAAAAAAGAAGTGGAGAAGCAGTGGGCGTCACTCTCTATTAGAATGTATGTACTACTTTTATATACAAAAATTTATATATATATACACACACACACCATCTCTGCATGCAGTTTTAGCTAGAAACCACTCATTCACTCTTTTATATGAGCAGTTCAGCAGCATTCAGCGATGGAACGAACTCCTGCTGATGGAAAACACCATGCACACCACAATTCACTTTCATGGCAGACTAAAGAGACACTTCACAGAAGCTGAATCTCAGTGGTAACTACTTTAACATTCCCATCCTCCTATGAGAAGGAGTTAATTCCACGGTCACACTCCGGGGCTGCACTCGGAAGGGCAGCCTTCCGGGTACAGCTCCCTGCTTGCATCCTGTCACAGGGGATGTCCCCTACGGATTATGACTTGCATGCCACCAAGTTTATTCTTCAGGTAATGCAGAAAAAAACTGACCAAATTGCAATGGGTGCTGCAACTTCCAAGGAGTCGCTACTTTTGAAAAACAAGGCTGAAGAGCATTTGCTAGCATCTGTTTGTATCTCCAACATTTTGCTGGAAAAACAGCGTTTTCTGTAGCAGAACACAAAATGTTTCAAATTGCTGTTTTTTGGTGTGCTAGCCCTATAGCTATAAGCAGCCCAAGAGCACACTACCATGTTTTCATAGCCTGCTGGTCCTATTCAGTACTAGGTGGAAACATGACCGTGTTACAAAGTGATTAGCACATGTTAACAGTGATTTAGCACATTGAATGCAGCTATGTTTCTATTTAAATTCCATGATTACTCTTGTGTTATTTGCTATTTTGTGTTTGACATTTCCATTTGGGTAAGTCACTTGTAATTGCCTATAAAGGAGCGTTTGACTAGATAGTGATGCAGTAAGTAAAAAGGCTGTGGTGAAGACAACACACATCTGTTATTGTTATGTTTCAGTTTAATGCATTGGGGTTTGACCAGAAAAACTACAGTAGAGTGGCTCAGTTTTATTTATTTATTTACTTAAATAAACTGGCAAGGTGCTGTAAAGATTCTGAAATAATGGGTTATATATTTGTAATATATTTGCTTATATTTTTACTGGACTTTAATACGTTTCATGAAATAGAAATGATTGTATCTAAGGAAGATATTTCCTTAATGAATGAGAAATTAAACTCTGCTGTCCTGACCCTGCAATTAAAAAGCCACCGCTCTTGTTCCAGTGGGAGTCATGTTAACATATAAAGCTGCTAGAAGAACACATGTTAGAACAAGTTCTGTAAATCCACACGGAGGACAGAGAATTAGGTCTGGATTCCTCAGCACCCAACTTTCAGCTGCTGTTGTTGCAAGCTTTCAAAATCCACTAGAGCTGCTTTAAAAAAAAAAAAAAAAAAAAGGAATTCCAACTTACAGAGTCTGGAAATAACGCAGAAAATAGGAATTCAGAAATATGGTTAAAATCAGAAAATATTCTGCACACTAGATTGTATGTAAATATGACACCAAATAAAATCAAATTAAAAGGTGTCAAATTCTTTCCAAAGAAGCCCATCTCTTTGCAAAATACAAGGTTTTCCTTTTGAAAAGATAGGCTTGTAAAAGATGTTTGGCAAAGCACAGCCTACCTGAAGATGGGTTTTCTTCTGTACGAAGTTTGCTGTGCCTTGCTCATACATTTTTAAACCTTAATACTTACCTTTATTGCTTTCTGGTCTCTCTACTAATGTGTGAAAAAAAAAGCCTTACAACCCGCACCCTATTCATTAAAAATAAGAGGAAAAAACATGCTAGGTACCGTAATTCGGTTTGAACACCCTGCGTTTACTCATCAAATTCTCCATGCGAGGTGGCGCGGGACGGCTCCTGCGGCCGTTTCTCGCACGGTGCCAAGGCAAACAGGCTTGTTGAGGGGGGCTGTTGTTTGCTGTTCAACTGTCACTCTTTCTTTTCCCTTCTGCTGAGGCGCCTCCTAATCTGTTTCCGGCAGCCTGCGCAGCACACGGCGATGTCCCGCTCGCGTCCCCACGAGGGAACGGGCGGCCCTGGCGCGGGGCTCTCCCGGCGCCGCGGGGCTCTCCCAGCACTGCCGCCCGCCTCCGGGCGCTCTTCAGCACCTCACGCCCGTGGCCCCGTTACGCCAGGTGCGCCACCACGCTTTGTTTTTGCCCTGTAGATCCTTATTTAGCCCCACACGGGAGCTCGGGGAAAGGCACCCGGTTCCTCCAAGTGCCACCACCGCTTGCTAAGGACAACAAGGCGGGGGCCGCATGTGTCCTTACGGAATCGCAAAGGGAAAACCCCAAAAGCAGCAGGGAAAGGAGGTCAAGTCTGCCTGTCCACAAGCTCAGGAGGAGGTCTCAAAAGCTCCCTGCTTGCCTTGGCACTGTAATATCCATGACATGATGACTCAAGCCCATTAAATAACCTCTGCTTATGGCTTGAACTAACATAAAAGGAAGTTTTACACCACCGGAGCAAAGGTGCTGGGGCTTAAAGGCCTGGAGAGTTACGTCAAGCTGCCAGGCAGCGGTCAGCTACAATTTTCCACAGCTGCTACTTCCAATTTGCAGGGCTGCTATCGCCTGAGACATTAACAAGAGCCCCATCCACCATGTTTGTTAGCACCCTCACAGCCTGGCTCTGGCCACCTGCACAGGCAGCTTGCAAGTCTCCTGCGGCAGGACGCAGCGCCATGGGGCTCTGCCGTGCCCGCCTCGTCCCACCGCACACCCTCCTGCTCCCCGCTCTCCCCGCTGCGACTTTTGCTGACGCAGCTGCTGCCTGGAAATAACCATTTATTCACTTGTTTTTGCTGGCTTCCCTCATCTAGTTCATCACATGGCCCCGCGGGCGCCCGTTAGGGCCGAGCTCACAGGGAGAGCGTCAAGGGGCGCTCGTGAGGTGCCTGCAGCCTTAGGAGCATCCAGGCAGCAGCCGAGCGGGGCTTTTGGAGCTCGTCTGGGAGCTAATGAGAACAGAGGTGCCTAAGCTGTCGTGTAATTCCTTAACCAGCACGTGACATTCCTAAATGCCCCATTCTTGCAACTGAGGCCTTCTCAGAATAAAATTGGCTGCTGAATGGAACAATTTTCATACAAACGGTTAGGGAATCTGACTCTCTGAGACTTAATTTAATTTGGGACAAAATCTGACCTATAACACCATGATATCAAAGGTTCATGTACTTTCCTTTCTAGAAGAATTCTGACAGGGTTTCAAGAATGGAAATGCAGGAGTGGGACACCCCATTTTACACTGTATTTTTTTCTATCCCACTGGGAATTCCTGTAGAATTGATAACTGTCAGAAAGACACTGCAAAACTCAGCTACAACTGCCTCAGTTACTGTCAACAGAGTGCCCAAGGACAGTATAGGATCGCACTGGAAAACGCTACCTTTTCTGAAGAGCCGTAGAACAAGCCCTATAAATGTCTTTTCCTTCTCGACAGAATTTTGCTGCTTCCATATCTGCTTCAAGTGTGCAACACATTGTCCGAATAAGGAAGACTCTATGCTGGATGTCGTCCCATTCAGTCACTCGTATGAGGAAAAAGGCAGGCTCAGCTAAATCTTCCTGGGATCAGCTGCCCTCCAGTCACCGCTCACCCTGACCTGCTCAGGAGGCCAGGCAAACGCTGCTCTAACTAAGGTCAAGGACTCCTGCTTGCAATAAACAGGAATACTCACGTGTTCCAGCGCTGGAAATCAAGGATCCCGTGATCAGGACAGACCAGCCACCCCTTCCACAACCATCGTGTTTTGCTTTGTCGCTCCTCATGCAGTTGCATAAAGTGACTCTAGGTTTGAAAACCCGGGGCGAGCAAGGGGCTGCCGCCACGGGCAGGGCACAGACCCCTTCAGCTCCAGCCAACAGACGGGCACGGGGCCAGCGGCGGCACGACGAGAATATTCCCATAACAAATACACCTCAGTTTGTCCTAAGGCCAGTCCGCTTGCTGCCGCGAACACGGCTACATTCAGGCACTCGGAGCTGCAGCAGCTCAGAGGGACTTCAGGAAAGGCAGGAAGGAAACTTCAAACGCGGTTCTGGCTGAGCCAGAGGAGAAACTTCTGCAATCTTTTGCTTTTAAGCTTTTAAAAAAGCAGATCTTGTGAGGACC